GAAAAGCAGTATGCCTTGTTTACTGATGGCTCTTGCCGTATTGTGGGAAAGCATCGGAGATGGAAGGCAGCTGTATGAAGTCCTGGACGACAAGTTGCAGAAACTGCTGAAGGAGAGGGTGAATCGAGTCAGTTTGCCGAGGTGAAAGCCATCCAGCTGGCCCTGGACATTGCTGAACGAGAAAAGTGGCCAGTACTTTATCTCTATACTGACTCATGGATGGTGGCAAATGCCCTGTGGGGGTGGTTGAAGCAATGGAAGCAGAGCAACTGGCAACGCAGACGTAAACCCATCTGGGCTGCTGCACTGTGGAAAGATATTGCTGCCCGCGTGCAGAACCTGGTGGTGAAGGTACGTCATGTAGATGCCCATGTACCCAAGAGTCGGGCCACTGAGGAACACCAGAACAACCAACAAGTGGATAAAGCGGCTAAGATTGAAGTGGCTCAGATGGACTTAGATTGGCAACATAAAGGTGAATTATTTTTGGCCCGGTGGGCCCATGACACTTCAGGCCATCAGGGCAGAGATGCAACATATAGGTGGGCCTGTGACCGAGGGGTGGACTTAACAATGGACACTATTGCCCAGGTTATTCATGAGTGTGAAACATGTGCTGCAATTAAACAAGCCAAGCGGCTAAAGCCTCTTTGGTATGGAGGACGATGGTTGAAGTATAAATATGGGGAGGCCTGGCAGATTGACTATATCACACTGCCACCAACCCGCCAAGGCAAGCGCCATGTGCTTACCATGGTGGAAGCAACCACCGGGTGGCTGGAAACATACGCTGTGCCCCATGCCACTGCCCGGAACACTATCCTGGGCCTTGAGAAACAGATTTTGTGGCGACACGGCACCCCAGAGAGAATTGAGTCAGACAATGGGACTCATTTCCGGAATAACCTTATAGATATTTGGGCCAAAGAGCATGGCATTGAGTGGGTATATCACATCCCCTACCATGCACCAGCCTCTGGGAAAATCGAACGGTATAATGGGCTGTTAAAAACTACACTGAGAGCGATGGGCGGGGGAACTTTCAAGCATTGGGATACACATTTACCAAAGGCCACCTGGTTGGTCAACACCAGAGGATCTGCCAACAGGGCTGGCCCAGCCCAGTCAGAACTTTTACATATTGTAGAGGGGGACAAAGTTCCCGTGGTGCATATGAAGAATTTGCTGGGGAAGACAGTCTGGGTTATTCCTGCTTCAGGTAAAGGCAAACCCACTCGTGGGATTGCTTTTGCTCAGGGACCTGGATATACTTGGTGGGTAATGCGGGAAGATGGGGAAGTCCGATGTATAACTCAAGGGGATTTGATTTTAGGGGAAAACAGCCAGTGAACTCAATTGTATGCTGTTGCCTGCTGTGTAATGCTTTTATAGCCCATCAACTAGATGTCTCCAGGTCACCAGCGACTGGCCCTGACTTCCCTCCAGCCATCATCCCAACAGAGAATGAACTTTGAACATCATGGACCGAATGGACTCGGCAGCATTATAGGGATTGGTCCATGCACTAAGAAAATGATTTTTTCCTCTTGGTCTGTATGTATATGGATGTATATATGTGGGAGAGCGATGGTGTATTGAAAATGTTGGATCTGAGCACGACGTGAATGGTATGGAATAAGGGGTGGATAATGTCCTGGGTTCAGCAGTAGCAGTCATGTTTTTTTTCCTTTGTGTTAGCTGGTGCGGTGCTGTGTTTTGACTTCTGGTTTGAGAATGGTGTTGGTGAAGCCGATGTTGTCGGTTGTTGCTGGGTGATGTTTACCCTGACCAAGGACTCTGTGAGGCTCATGCTCTGCCAGGGAGGAGGGGAAGCTGCGAGGAAGCAGAGACGGGGCGCCTGACCCGGGCTAGCCGGGGAGGTATTCCATACCACAGCACGTCATGCCCGGGGTGGGGGGTAACTGGGAGTTACCCGGAAGGACAGGAGCTTCCGGGTGGAACTCGTTTTTTGGCCGGTGGTATCGTATTCTCTTCCCTTGTTATTTTCCCTTATCATTGTTTTAGCTGATAGTAGCGGTGGTGATTTGTTGCTGGACTGTTCTTGTCTCAACCCATAGGAGTTGCACTCTCTTGATCCTCCTCCCCGTTCCTCCGGGAGCTGGGAAGGGGAGAGCCCCGGTGCAGGGGGGGGGGGAGACGGACACGGACCTTGATTGTTGTCAGCTCGGCACCACTCACTGGGAGTGAGTGAACAAGTTACCTGACTGGGTTTAAACCACGACAGGAGGAAAACTGAAAGAATGTAACTCCCATGAGTTAAGAACAGTCCAGTAACTAAGGTATAATAGAAAACTACTACTACCACCACCAATAATAATAATGATAAGGGAAATAACAAGGGGAAAGAATACAATTGCTCGTCACCCGCCAACCGATACCCAGCCCGACCTGAGCAATGATCTGGGCCTTCTGGGTAACTCCCCCCACTTTATATACTGGGCATGATGTGCTGTGGTATGGAATGCCCCTTTGGCTACTTTAGGTCAGGTGTTCTGTCTCTGCGTACTCCCAGCTTCCTGTGACCCTCCTCCCTGATAGAGGATGAGACTGAAAAAGTCCTTGATCAGAGTAAACATTACTTAGCAACAACTAAAACCACTGGTGTGTTATTAGAATTGTTCTCAAAAGTCAAAAACACAGCACTGCACCAGCTACTAAGAAGGAGAAAATTGACTGCTACAGCTGAACCCAGGACACCTTTTGTTGAGGACACCATAACTGCACACAGTACTCCAAGTGGGGTCTCATGCAATAATAAATAATTTATGAATCACCACAACTTAAAGCACACTTTATGCTACTTTAAATGCACATTCAAGTTAAATGAATGGAAATTTGCATAGGCACTATTTTCAGGGGAAAGGGCTCTTTTATTTTTTACAATGTCCTGCTCAGGTTTATGAGAACCAGACAGACTTCTTCCCTCCTTACCATCCTTGAAGTTTCCAGGCACCTGGCCAAACAGGTTGTGATGACTCTGGCACAGAACAGGGAAGTATACCAGTGCACACAGAGCACAGTCTATAAAATCAAACAGTTAAAAGTCCCATTGGACTTGGACCAGAATTGCTGCCAGAAAGCAAAACTTGTGATCCTCCAGTGGTCAGGGATATCTCCACTGTCATCTGCTTCTACTAAGAATTGAGTGACTTGCATTATTTTGCATATTTTGAGTCTAGATTATGATTATTATATTGATATGGCAAGTCATGTATTCAGATTTGACTAGATCTGCAGATGGTCCAGGTGATTAGAAACCATAAGCTAAACTGTGCTATAAAAAAAGTGCTACACTACTTATAAACTACTTATAACTACTTACTTTTATACTATAAAATTGTGCTAAACTGATTCTGGTTATTAAAACACCTGTGCTACTCTGATCACAAGATTCTAAGCTGATCATAAAATTCTGCTAAAAAATATAGCTTTAATTGTAACTACAACTTAGTGTCATCATCATTCTGCCAAGGATCCCCCAAAAAACTTGCCTGGCCCCATAGTGGATGGCTGCACGCAAAGATTTGCGGTCAATGGCACAATGTCCAAACGGAGACCAGTAATAAGAGGTGTCCCTCAGGGGTCAGTGTTGGAACTGATCCTGTTCAACATCTTTGTTAGCAACATGGACAGTAGTATTGACAGGTGGAGGGAAGGGATGCAATCCAGAGGGACCTTGACACACTTGAGACGTGACCCAATGCCAGCCTCATGAAGATCAACAATGTGAAGTGCAAGGTCCTATACCTGGGTCAGGGCAACCCCATGCACAGCTACAGGGTGGGTGGAGAAGTGATTCAGAACAGCCCTGTGGAGAAGTACTTGGGGCTGTTGGTCGACGAGAAACTGAACATGATCCGGCAGTGTGTGCTTGCAGCCTAGAAAGCCAACCATATCTGGGGTTTCATCAAAAGAAGCATGACTGGCAGATCTAAAGAGGTGATCCTGTCACTCTGCTCTGCTCTCCTCTTGTGAGACCCCACTTGGAGTACTGGTGTCCTCAACATAAGAAGAACATTGAGCTGTTGAAGCAAGTCCAGAGGAGGGCCATGAGGATGATAAGAGGGCTGGAGCACCTCCCATATGAAGTCAGGATGAGAAAGTTGGGGCTGTTTAGCCTTAGGAAGAGAAGGCTGCTTGGAGGTCTCATAGCAGCCTTCCAGTATCTGAAGGGGGCCTACAAGCATGCTGGAAAGGGACCCTTCATCAGGGACTTTAGAGATAGGACAAGGGGTGATGGGTTCCCACTTAAACAGGAGAAGTTCAGGTTAGATATAAGGAAGTAGTTCTTTACTGTGAAGGTGGTGAGGCACTGGAACAGGTTGCCCAAATAAGTGATAAATGCTCCATCCCTGGCAGTGTTCAAGGCCAGGTTGGATAGTCTTGAGCGACATGGTCTAGTGTGAGGTATCCCTACCTATGGCGGGGGGTTGGAACTAGATGATCTTAAGGTCCTTTCCAACCCTAACCATTCTTGATTCTATGATTGCTTTCTTCACTTCTCATTATCTAGAGGTTTGGATAATACCTTTTAATATCTTTTATTTTTTTTCTTAATTTATTAAAATAAAATTCAAATTTTAGTTAAGTGCATTAATTCAAAGCAGACAAATGTATCAGATAAACACTGACAAACAGTTCTACTGTTCTTTGCTGCTAAACTACTACTAACAGTGTGAGATATAGTGTGTTCTGGAAATAAGAGGGTCCCTCACAGACTTGCATAAAGCTCTGAGGAGGAATTTTCCTGCTTTGGGTGAAATACAATTTAAGCATTATGATTTACCTCAATCAAATTCCAAAAGAAAAAAAAATTGATATAGCAAGAAAACATTTCATAGGGGAAAGTATTATACCAGCATACATGGCTCAACTTTAAAATACTAAGTTCTTTTTAATTAATACCAAAGAAACTGCTTCTTCACAATCTGAAGTTGCATCACTACATTTTGCTCATGAGAATAAAATTTACAGTCATGAGTTGCACATAAAGGATTTATTTTAAATGCTTTAAGGATAGAGTTACATCATAATTATAAAAATTACTTACAGAATTAAGTAACAGACTTAAAGTATTCATACTTCTATATGCAAAGAAAAAAAAATAATGAAGCCAAGCTCTAAATATGAAGTTGTTACCTAATTTTAAAATGTGAACACGAAGACCTTTGAACTATACACATACCAAGAACCATCCTAATTTCACTAATAATGTAAAATACAAAAAGCACAGCATTTTGAAGGAACCAAAACCTGCTTTTTCCATAATTCTTTTGCCCTTAAGCAACTGCAGTCTATTGTATCTGAAGATAAAGCCTCCATTTTAAAATAATTAATTTAAAGATGGCTTATACCTATTGCAATAAGTAGAAATTTCCCCAAAGTGTTTCAGTCTTGATGTAGTCCAACTTAGTTTAGGGTTTGGCACTCAAAAAAACCCCCTAAAATTAATGTTTTATTAATTGATTGTGATTTTATTTATTCTTGAACAGAATGCATGCACGGTTCCTTCAAATGCTGTATGACACATACAAGTGGAAAATTACCTTCCATTGGAACTATGTTCGCCTCACCAGTGCATTTAATTCTACTAACAACCATTCAAACAGCATAATAAGAAATTTCACAAAAAAATGAACACAAAATAAAACCAGAACAAAACCCAAACATTATAACATGCAACTTCAGTTTGTTACATTGAACATTCTAATATTATAAGCATGCAAAAAAATAATGGTCTGAATTTAAGATTTATGGTTTTTTTTGGGTTTTTTTGTGTGTGTGTTTGGTGCGTTTTGGGGGTTTTTTTGGGGGCTTTTTTTTTGATTTTTAAAAAGTTTTACATGGCAGCCTGACATCATGCACACACACAATATACAACAATACTACAGCAGGTAAATGAGAAAGGCAAATAACCTCTATACAAAAATCCATGGCTTGTGCCATCACAAGACCTATGATAAATTTGGAAAGTAATTTGAACCCCTAGAACAAGGGACCAACATGTAGTAGTTACTAAGGTAATACAAGCACTGCATGCAGATCTGAAACATGAGCCTAAAATAAAGTCCAAAGCAGATGGCAGGGAGTGGAATTAGTCTCAAGTCTCAAAAAGGTGGTGTAAGCTATTAAATAATAGCCACAAAACCAATACCACTCCCCCTAAGAAAAAAGATGAAAGGAAAAAAACCCCATGCAACAGACAATGGGGACATCTAAAAACAAACAGAAAATTTTATAGTGTATAGATTATATTTCAATTAGTAAAATATGTTGTGTATTAGAGTGGCTTGCATAAAACCCACAAATGCAAGTCTAATGCTAAAAATGTTCCAGTAGGCGCACACCTCAAATATTTCAAAACAAACCTTGTATTCTTTAGATGTAAACCCCAAAATTCATTGTACTAAGTTATTAATGTATTTTGTATGCAATCAATACACCCATTCTTGTGCCACAAATATCAACTTGGGCTCATGGAGCCAGGCTCAGCTTTGAGATTTACATGCAGGACTCTTAAGAGTCAATAGAAAGCACATAACAGATCTGCAGGATGAAAGCACTATGTTGCAAATCTGCTCACTTTGTTCAAAACACAATAAAAATTTACTGACTCAGGTACTTAGTGCTTAAAGACTGGATCGAGAAGCTGTGAACTGAAAGACAGTAGCCTGCCTTTGGTTGCCCATGATGAAATACAGGACATACATAATGCAATATAGTAGAAAGGGACAAAGAACTGAAATACCATATTTACACAATATTACCATTTAACATCATAATGAGGCACAAGCCTTAAGGCTAAAATATGAAATCAAGCAAAAAAATGGACAGAAAAGGACTTAAACCACTGAGTCTTTGATATCAAGAATACCCACAATAGAGGTCAGACCTCTGATCTCTCTGTCAGTACCATTCAAGCATCCTTCCACTAACAGCATGAAGTTGGATATCTATGTATTCCTTCTTTCCATCAATAGTGTCGACTATTCACATTCTTCACATACTGTATTTCTGTGAAGCAGTATTTTGAAGCTTGTAGAGCTCTACACTAGCATGACAATTCTGTTGCTGTGTTGATCCTTGTTGCAATTCTGATGCTTTTAAAAGTTGCTACACTTAAAAAACAAATAACCTAACCTTGATTTACAACTATCTCACAAGATTACAATTGTGAAAGGATTCTGCTATTGTGGGCTGCAATTTACATCCACATTCTAATGCAGATGAATAAACCACTGAGACTGTCTATAGCTCCCCTTAGTACACCACTGGCATGTAGAACTCTAGTGCTCATAGAATGAAATTCATGTTAACATCATACCTCAAAGCAAGTACAACAGGTTTAAATTGGAGATTTGTCTGGACAGCCTCTACATGGAAAAGCCAGAAAAAGAATATATGGAGAAGATGCCTTCTTGAACCAAAAGCAAAACCCCAAACAAAACAAATGAATACAGCAGACTGAGCAGAAGGCAATGAATATTTCTCCTCTAAAGAAGGTCTTCAGTGTAAAAGGACCCCCCACCCTCATAAGAGTGTATTTACCATGTAAAAGATTAACTACTATTAGGTTTTTGAGTCCACACTCAAACATCCAGGTTGCTAGGTTAAATGAGAGACTACTGATTGCCAAGGCGTAGTCTAAAATCTTAAGTAGCATATATACTGTTAAACTTGTGGCACCAAGCACTTGGGTTCTGCTGAGAAATGTGTATAATGAAAGAGAGTACAACATTTGGGATTAAAGGCAGCTTTGTTGTGTATATTTTACTGGCTTCTACAACTTGTAAACAAAGGTCCTTAACCTCCATTTTCTAATTAACTGTTTACACAGATTAAATATCTTTTTATAGTTTAAAGTCTTTTCACTGAAAGGTGCATAAATCAAACACTTGATATTCTACTGCCCTGTGAATAGTAAAAATGCATAAGTATTTCCATATACTGGAAGCTCTTAAAAAGCTTAATTTGAAATAAAGTGTAGGAACACAGTAGATTGATGTTACTTGGGTTAGGCACTCTTTACTGCTGAATAAATTGTTTAAACCTTTCAGAAGAGTCACCTCTGTCCCAACTCAGAAAACAAGGACTGCCAGTAACCAAGAAATTAATGTTACAAAAGAAGGCATATCAAAAATAGCAAGCTACACTTGCATGTGGCAGTTGAATAGGTGAGTGCAAGGTTGAAGAAAATGTTAAAATATATGAGAAAATCTAGATTACAATACTAGATTGACTTCACACAGCTTGAATTTTCAGCTGTTCTTAGCTTTTAACTCCCTCCCACCCAAATATATTGACTTCCTTCAAGAAAAGGAGTTCTCTTATGCAAAATGCGCGATGTTCACATAAATTTGTATTATTCAGAACAAAATAGTTTTGCTGATAGAGATCATGGGTTCACAGGGACATTTAAGTTTTCATTTAACTGAAAAACAGTCAAGTCTTTGTGTTTACAAATTTTATGTTTAATAGTTCCACAAATTTGGCAGAAGTTCATGATGATGTCTAGGATGTCTTCACCAAATCATAGACATAAATATGGAAATCATCATCAAACTTGATGAAATAGACAGATGGTTTGGCTTCAACTTGATGAATGACCATGCCAGTCCGTTTTGAGCCATCTTCTTTGGCATATTCCACTTGTTTGCCCACCAGGCTGTCCACAACTTCACCTGGTTCCCGTTCTGCAGGAGGTGAATCATCTGTAATATGAAAATACAATGCACTTCAGTAGTCATTTATGGATTTTTTCCAATGTACAAATCTTCAGAGCCTTCTTTGACACTTAAGAAACAATCACAAGTTTAAAACACAGAGTATGTCTAAAATTAGCTGTTCAGACAAGCACCTAACTATTGCCATGCTTCCAGAAAGTACAGTCACAGATTTTTTTTTTTTTTTGGGTAATACTGTCTTCAATTTTATGAAGCAAAAATAGCATTTCAATTGGTTAGAAAAGTAAATATTTTGACATGAAGGTTTACACACCAATTACAGAACGCTTGTAGATATTGAATTTAAGCCCCAGCAGAACAAAGCACTGAGTCTCTTTAACAGAAATGCAGGTGTGCTAGAACTACTTCTCCCCGCACACTTTATCCAAAATGTCAATGCAAGCATTCCATTACAAAAAGAGCACATCTTTTCCAAGCTAAGTGTAACCTCCTTAATCAATAATGCTGTTAAAAGGGCTTTTGATTTCACACTAGAATGGATACTATTGAGAACTCTATATTATTTGCTTTTCTAGCAAAATCTACCCAGAAGTATCCTTAAGGACACAGAGGTAAGTAGTAGATAGTCTCAGGAAAAAAAGAGTGCATGAAAAACTTAATTCTTAAATCTGAAAAGCATAAGCCTTTTTTCTGTTAAAAAATCTAAGTGTAATCTCTTCCACAATAGTATGCATATATTAATCAGAATTAGGAATTACTATGGAAAAGGATTTTCCAGTATTTACTGCATATTTCACCACTGATTCAAGTAAAATATTTCAGAAGTTGTTTAATACAGATGTATTTCTTTTTGTGCTGTAACCTTTGATACTTAAAAAGATTCTTCTTTGTCAACTCCATTTGCCATACATAAACCATAGGGCAAACAATAATACAAAGAGATGAAGCTTCCTGGAAGAAAAAAGTAACTGGCCTACTTACTGGAATCAGGCATAATGCGAAGGTCACCTTCTTTATAATCATCTAATAGTTGGTACATGTACAAGACAGGATCTTTCTCATAGGTAATATAAAACCATGTGTTCATAATAGGAGCTCGAGCCAAGACCATCCCCCTCCATTCATCTTTTGAGCCATCCTCTGTCTCAAACATATGTTCCACAGCTTTGCCAATCATTGTGTCTGCCAGGTGGGCATCACTAATTCGAGATGAAGCTGAAATGGTAGCAGTTCATTATAGTTCAGTATGTTCATTCAAAAGTACAGAAATAAGTATTTGCAAAAATAATAATCTTTATCCAGATTCATGAATAAACTTGTTTGAAAGTTAGTCAATTCCCATACAGAACAAATATTGCCCATTCCGGAGAGCTGAAGACCAAAGAACTGCATAACTTGAAAAATTATTTTAACATGTTAACTACTCTTATTGGCATTTTTCATCATTGTACAGCCCCCCCCCCCCCCCTCCCCCAATAATGCAAGGTAAAGGGAAAGTAATATAGACCACAGAAAAGAACAGTGTCTGTATTTTAAATACAAGATAAGATAATGAAGGTGTTTGGTTTGGTTCCCCCTAACCCCATTCTAGAGACTGCTACTGATATCTTTGCAGTCAGGAAAAACAAGAAGTTATTCCATACAGAAATAAACAATTATTAAGGAAAACTTTGAACTTTACAGTTTGAAAAAATCTGCAGTTTAAAATTTCAGTGCTAATTCTGAAAACAAATAAAGCCTTGTTACTAGTCAAGTTATTTCACTTTTTTCCTCTCCATTTCTATTAATACCTAGGGAAAGCACATGAAAAAACCTCCAACCAAACACAAAATTACTGTCTAACACACAAGACAGCACAGCTAGGACATTTCTCAGCTAGCTCAGAATTTAAATTTTAATAGAAATATCAATGTTACATGTACATAAGCTTGTTAGGGATAAAATTAAACAAGAAAAAAATACAGACTTTTCTGCATGACATTTAAAGACAAAAGACAGCACTATGCACTCTGGTATCATCAAATCTTTGTGTAATCAACAAAAATTAAAAAGAACATTTAGATTATCTGCCATGTGATGAAAAGTAATTTAAATAATAAAATTTAAATGTTCTGACAACATTTGCGCATATAGGAAAAAAACTCTTACCAACTCTGTCTGGAAGGACTTCAAGTGCTGAAACTCTTTCATCTTTGTGCAGTTCTAGTCCATATACACAATCAAATCCATCATACTTAATAAGATAGAGAGAGGGATTTACAGGAACTTGATCAAGAACTGTGCCCTTCCATTGTGTTACAGGTCCACTCCCTTCTTTCCAGCCATGCTGTATTCTGCAGCCTACAATGTTTCTTCGTGGCTGAGAAATAGGTTTGCTTGGTCCAACATTGTTTCTATGCTTTCTGTACACAGATACAAGCATAACATTAAACAAGTACATACTCAAAATTTTACTTTGGACAAGAGCTTTACGCTGGCAATACATTATTATATGTTAATAAAGATAAATCAAATTCTAACATACACAGCTTTGTGCATATTATTCAAATTAGGTTATAAAACATATTACATTGTACTTGAAAAAAGAAAACAAAACAAAAACACAATGAAAAGTAGTGGAACACTTTCAATATTTTCTATAAGCTTGCTTTCCTAATAGCAGTTTCTAAAACTAGCTTGCTTAAGCCAACAGGACTATTTTAGCCATTGATACACTGAACATCAGAGGTAAAACGTGCTTGTTAAAACCCTAAATCAGGTCTCAGAGAGCAATGCTACCTAACAGGAGTATACTTCTGCTACTTTGCTGCTCTCTGCAGAACAGTAAACATAATTCCCTTACTCCAGGAGGAAGTAATCAGTGGAAACATTTAATGGTGGTTGACTAAAATTCTTCAAAGCATTTGTTTTCCCTAACCTGTGTTGTCACCTGAAGGAAACTTTGCTTCCCTCTGCACTTACAGGGATCTTGGACTTCAAGTGTTTTTAAAAACACATGATAGCAACAATATTCTTCTAACATTCTATTTTAGTACAACACAAGAAAAAAAGACATGCAAAGGTCACAGAAATAGAAGAGGTACTCCTTAAAGCAGATAATAAATTAAATATACTTTTTACCTTCCCTTTAATTCAACCTGCAGATTCCTTCTGGTGAAGGTCAGTTGCTCTGATAAACAGCCATGTAAGCTATTTCACAAGTTTTAAACCACTAAAACAGTGTTACACAAGTCTTATTCTACTCAGTTAAAAAATAAAAAACAACAAAAAAAAACAACCAAAAACATAAATGGCAACTGACAGTTGCGAATACAATATATGAGAAAACATATGAACATTACAAAAGTACACTGGTGATAAATGCATATTATCTTTATTTTATCATGTTACAATATGCATATTCATTTCTAAAAGGATATTTAGAGGGTTGTCTGATAAAAATTCTCATGAATCTTAGCTAATTGCAAACTAAATTTCTGGATTATTTACCACTTACAGTACACTTCATTTAAATGGCAATAAAATATACACTTCACTAGCACACTTAAAAGTAACATCAGTTGCAGAAAACAACATCCATCCTTAAATTAGTGACAGTGACCAAAGAAAAATGTCTTCAGAAAAATGAAAGCTCACAGAGCAGCCCATGTATGACAGAGATCCAAAAGACACAAATAGTAATCATATCAGTAAAGCATCATAATTAGTCTTAAAGTATAATAAAACCAGTATATAAAATTAGTAATGCTAAAGTTATAATCACAACTCAATTAAAAACAATATGTAGAATTCCTTCAGCATCTTGTCCCAGCTCCGGACTTTCATTCTCCACAAAAAGCATAGCAGAGTTCTACAATAACTTTTGGCAAATTTAAGTTTTGTGATGATTTAACCATATCAAGGAGGTCAGTCTGCATTCATAATCTGTGTTGTCAAAGTTAGAAGCAATGTTAAGAAGAAATGTTAACCTCTTCCAGTTAAGAGGCACTCCCTTGCAAAGTTGGTTCTATTTTTCCACGGAAACTTGAACACATGATAAAATACTAGTTCTTGACTAAAGTCTTTATTTTTTCTTTTTTTTTTTTTTTTTAAATTATAATAGTCTCAGTAATATTTTACTATAAAGAAATGAGATCAGAGATATGGTTCTTGGGCACAATGAAAAAGGGATTGCTTTGCATGCAATTAATTTATTTACTTTTAACGAATCTTAAATAAATTTTAGGCAACCTCAGAGAATAAAACCAACTCCTCCTGAAGATCATAGAATCACAGAATACTTAGGGTTGGAAAGGATCATCTAGTTCCAACCCCCCCGCCATGCGCAGGGACACCTCACACTAAACCATGTCACCCAAGGCTCTGTCCAACCTGGCCTTGAACACTGACAGGGATGAAGCATTCACAACTTCTCTGGGCAACCCATTCCAGGGCCTCACCACCCTTACAGTAAAGAACTTCCTCCTTATACCCAATCTAAACTTACCCTGTTTAAGTTTAAACCTGTAACCTCTTGTCCTATCATTACAGTCCCTAATGAAGAGACCCTCTCTGGCATCCTTATAGGCCCCCTTCAGATACCGGAAGGCTGCTATGAGGTCTCCATGCAGACTTCACTTCTCCAGAACAATCAGTCACTGGAATAATCTCCCCAGGGAAGTGGTGGATTTCCCAATATTGGACACTTTTAAGATTCGGCTGCTCAGGCTGCTGGGACATCTAGTCTAAGTCATGCTTTGCCTAGAAAGGTTGGACAAAATAATCCTTGAGGTCCCTATCAACTTGGTGCTCTAAGATTCTGTGAATGCAAGAAAAAATACACTGTGGTTTAATTTAATTTTAATAACAATTTTAGCATAAGCAAATGGATAAATTGGATTAGGGTTTTACCAGGCTTCTTCAAGCACTGGTGCAGTTTTATGAGAATACATGTAAACAGTAACCCTCAAAGACTGCAGGTGAAGTTAATTGTTTAAAAAAGTAGACAGAAATCCTGAAAGTACCATTTCTTATGTTTCCTACTGTACTTGTTCTTCCATTGAATTAGCAAGACACAGTTATTGAGACAAGCAATACAGTTTGTTCTCTATTTGCACTAGATTTTCTTCATGATGTGAATTGATACAGCGCTCAATCTCTCTCACTTCTGACACGGAGAAAACTCCAGGAACAAACCTGCCAACAAAGTTTTCAAGCTGACAAGCAGGTATTCTTTATTGCGGCGCCGGGAGACACGGGGGATAGCTCCTCCTAACATGGGTCTCTCAATTGCCACACAAGCTGTCCATTTATAGCCACTGGGCATACATACATATTCATGAGGCTACGTATGGATTACATCATTTTCCAGAAAGCTCCCTGCATGCGTACAGAATTGTGGTGGTGGTCTCTGAGGGTCAAGGAGGCTTTAAACTAGATGTGTTGGGGGAGGGGGGCATCATTCCATTCCAACACACCCAGTCAGATGCCAGAACCCATAAAAAATGCTCGGAGCAATGTAGAGATATCCCAGCCGCTCCAGTCAATGAGCCGGCTTCAGTTGGAGCTCGGCTCAGATGCCTCTATACAAATGCCCGTAGCATGGGGAACTGTCGTGGTTTAAACCCAGTCAGGTAACTTTTTCACTCACTCCCAGTGAGTGGTGCCGAGCTGACAACAATCGAGGTCCGTGTCTGTCTCCCCCCCCCCCCCCCCCCCCCCCGCACCGGGGCTCTCCCTTTCCCCGCTCCCAGAGGAACGGGGAGGAGGATCGAGAGAGCGCAACTCCTACGGGTTGAGACAAGAACAGTCCAGCAACAAATCACCACCGCTACTATCAGCTAAAACAATGACAAGGGAAAATAACAAGGGAAGAGAATACGATACCACCGGCCAAGAAAGCGAGTTCCACCCGGAAGCCCCTGTCCTTCCGGGTAACTCCCAGTTACCCCCCCCACCCCGGGCATGACGTGCTGTGGTATGGAATACCTCCCTGGCTAGCCCGGGTCAGGCGTCCCGTCTCTGCTTCCTCACAGCCTCCCCTCCTCCCTGGCAGAGCATGAGCCTCACAGAGTCCTTGGTCAGGGTAAACATCACTTAGCAACAACCGAAAACATCGGCTTCACCAACACTGTTCTCAAGCTAGAAGTCAATACACAGCACTGCACCAGCTAACACAAAGGAAAAACATGACTGCTACTGCTGAACCCAGGACATTATCCACCCCTTATTCCATACCATTCACGTCGTGCTCAGATCCAACATTTTCAATACACCATCGCTCTCCCACATATATACATCCATATACATACAGACCAAGAGGAAAAAATCATTTTCTTAGTGCATGGACCAATCCCTATAATGCTGCCGAGTCCATTCGGTCCATGATGTTCAAAGTTCATTCTCTGTTGGGATGATGGCTGGAGGGAAGTCAGGGCCAGTCGCTGGTGACCTGGAGACATCTAGTTGATGGGCTATAAAAGCATTACACAGCAGGCAACAGCATACAATTGAGTTCACTGGCTGTTTTCCCCTAAAATCAAATCCCCTTGAGGTATACATCGGACTTCCCCATCTTCCCGCATTACCCACCAAGTATATCCAGGTCCCTGAGCAAAAGCAATCCCACGAGTGGGTTTGCCTTTACCTGAAGCAGGAATAACCCAGACTGTCTTCCCCAGCAAATTCTTCATATGCACCACGGGAACTTTGTTCCCCTCTACAATATGTAAAAGTTCTGACTGGGCTGGGCCGGCCCTGTTGGCAGATCCTCTGGTGTTGACCAACCAGGTGGCCTTTGGTAAATGTGTATCCCAATGCTTGAAAGTTCCCCCACCCATTGCTCTCAGTGTAGTTTTTAACAGCCCATTGTACCGTTCGATTTTCCCAGAGGCTGGTGCATGGGAGGGGATGTGATATACCCACTCAATGCCATGCTCTTTGGCCCAAATATCTATAAGGTTATTCCGGAAATGAGTCCCATTGTCTGACTCAATTCTCTCTGGGGTGCCGTGTCGCCACAAAATCTGTTTCTCAAGGCCCAGGATGGTGTTCCGGGCAGTGGCATGGGGCACAGCGTATGTTTCCAGCCACCCGGTGGTTGCTTCCACCATGGTAAGCACATGGCGCTTGCCTTGGCGGGTTGGTGGCAGTGTGATATAGTCAATCTGCCAGGCCTCCCCATATTTATACTTCAACCATCGTCCTCCATACCAAAGAGGCTTTAACCGCTTGGCTTGTTTAATTGCAGCACATGTTTCACACTCATGAATAACCTGGGCAATAGTGTCCATTGTTAAGTCCACCCCTCGGTCACGGGCCCATCTATATGTTGCATCTCTGCCCTGATGGCCTGAAGTGTCATGGGCCCACCGGGCCAAAAATAATTCACCTTTATGTTGCCAATCTAAGTCCATCTGAGCCA